GAGCAGGGGAGGGGACCCGCAGCCGACGCCAGAGGGCACGAGGCGTCCGAGGGCGACGGGGGCGGGGGGGGGGCAGACCAGAGGTGGCAACCCCAGCCCGGGTGGCACAGCCCGCAGGGGACCCGAGGCTGGAGGAAGAAGCCGCGGGCGGCATGGCGGGGCTGCGGGCCAGGCGGGGCTCCGAGTGGGGGCTGCTGGCGCTGACCATGTTGGGGTTCTGTCTCGTGCTGCCTGTCAGTGCTAAGAGGCCCCCCAAGACGCCCCCGTGCCCGCCCAGCTGCTCCTGCACCCGGGACACCGCCTTCTGTGTGGATTCCAAGGCAGTGCCCAGGAATCTGCCCTCGGAGGTCATCTCCCTGTGAGTGTGCGCCTGGCCTTGGCGCTGTGGGGAGGGAGAGGCGGGCAAAGGCTGCGCTGGGAGGGGGTGGGAGAGGCCCTGTGCCCTCGGTGAGGGGGAGCAGGTGCAGCCCCTGGGATCCCTCAGGGCTGGGGAGCCCCAAGGCCCTGGGGCCCGCAGAGAGCTCTGCAGTCCTGCAGGTCATCAGCCATATAGCTATCAGAAAAGCCAGCGTTTAGGCCAAGAATGAATCATCTCCAGCAGCAGCATGGGTGACACTGGTGCCTGGGGGGGGGTGCAGACCTGCCTGGCACCAGAGGAAGTTTAAAGGAGTCTTCGATGTTACGCCCAGCCCAGAAAGCAAAGCGGGAGGAGGGATGGTGGCGGGGGAGGGGTGGCAAGGGAGATTGCCCTCACAGTACCCTGGCACGGGGAAGGGGCCAACCGCCCCGCAAAAAACCGGAACAACCCCAACTGCAACAAACGGCCCCAGTCCCCCCTCCCCTTCCCTGCAGGGGGAGGGAGAGGGTGTAGAGGCTGCCAGGACCTTGAGAGCCGTGGGCTGCTCCCTCCCTCATCCGAGTGCCCCATCCCTCAACATGGGGGGGGTGACGGGGGGGGGGCATGTGGATGGTGGTAATGGTGCAGGTAATGGAACCTTCTCTTGGCCTAGAAGGAAGGTGAACCTGGGGCCACTGAGCTTCTGCAGGGAGCTGCAGGGGGTGGGGAATGGTGAAGGCAGACAGTGAGTTGGAGAAAAGGGAAGGACAGGTGCCGGGTGGGGGCAGGGCTAGTGTGTACAGAAGCCATTGTCCCGTGTACTTGGTGCTGGCACAGGGCCGACACCCCGCACCCCCAGCAGTGACTATGATCTCCATCGCAGGACCCTGGTGAATGCAGCCTTCTCCGAGATCCAGGATGGAGCCTTCTCTCACCTGCCATTGCTGCAGTTCTTGTACGGAAGGCCTTGCTGGAGGCTGGTGGTGGGGCGGGATGGAGGACTGAGTGCTGGGGTGGGGAGGGAGGGTGGATGGAGGCTGCTCACCTTTCCCAATGCCAGGAAAGCTGGGGCAGCCTGGCATCTGGGCAGCAGGTGGTCTGCACGCAGAAGCCAAGAGCAGGACATTTGGAGCCTGGACTCGATTCCCAAGTGACCCAAGGGAACTGGATGGAATAGTGTGAGCCAGTGTCAGAGAGTGGACACTTGGTGTGTATGGGGGGGGAGTTCTTAGAGACAGGTGACCCCAAGCTTGAAGAAAGGCTTGGAGGCTACAAGGGGAAAACATCTGTGGGCAGCTGACAGTGATGGATTGGAGTGGACCAGGGTGAGGGTGGCTGGAGAAACAGGGAGCAGAGATGTCATGGGGAAGAGCCAGCTTAGCAGAACTCTGTCCAATACCCGCCCCCCCCCCGCAGGTTTAGAACAAGCAAGGAGGGTGGAAGCTCCTGACATTGGAACAAGGTCTTGTGTGGCCTTGTGGCCGGGGGGGGGGGGGCTCAGGGGCTCTGCCAGGTAATGGAGAAGCCCCAGGGTGAGGCAGCGGCGAGGGCAGCAGGCACACCCTCGGAAGATCTAATTCCACCTTTGTCTTCCCAGGTTACTCAACTCCAACAAGTTCACACTCATTGGAGACAATGCCTTTACAGGACTGTCCCACCTGCAGTACCTGTGTGTGGAGGGAAGGAGGCAATGGGGAAGGGAGCGAAGGGAAAAAGAGGGAGGAGGGAGGAGGGAGAAGGAAACTCAGGCCTGGGTGGGCTGAGGGGAGGTGGAGTGAGAAGGCTGGGGAAGGTGGTAAAACAGGGGAGCCCTTGAATTTTCTGGCTTCAAGACATAACTAAGGGTCATTTGATGCATGCCTGTGATAACCTACCCAATGCCGTGTCACTCGGGCTCAAGGGTCAGGCCTGGGGTGTAGGGAAATCTCTGTTTAGGGGTCTGGAATCTCATGGGGAAACTGAGACACCTCCTTTTCTCTAGCTTCATTGAGAACAATGACATCTGGGCACTGTCCAAGTTTACATTCAGAGGGCTCAAGTCCCTCACACACCTGTGAGTACCCGATTCCTACATATTCACTGGCTCAAAGCCCCACCTGTCCTCTGGCCTTTGGCCTTGGACATGGTCTTCCGGTGACCTTGGGGTCTCTCTTGCAGCTCATTGGCCAACAACAACCTGCAGACGCTACCCAGAGACATCTTTCGGCCCCTGGACATTCTGAGTGACTTGTAAGGCCCGAGTCCTGCTCTTCCAATGATGTCACAGACAGCACATCCCTGGAGGAGGGGCATGGGTTACCACAGTGGGGGGTAGGGGGAAGGTTGTGATCATAGGGCCTCTGGGGCCTCTGAGAAGGGAAGTCATGATAGATGTGGGTGGTAGCTTTCCAAATTGAGATTCCTCTTCAAATGAATCTGAGATATGTATGTGTTTCAAAATCATGATTTTTTTTTTGGTCTGCCATGGTGGCTTTCTTGGAAGGAGGATGGGCCTAAAGTTAGCAAAGTGCTAGCTCAATCAATAAGCCAGGTGTGATGGCTCATGCCTGTCATCCCAGCTACTCGGAAGCATAGCTAGGAGGGCCACTGTCCAAGGAAAAGCCCCAGACCCTCTCCAAAAAAATAACAGTGTGGCTCAGGTGGTAGAGCAGCTGCCGAGCGAGGGCCAGGCTCTGAGTCCAAACCCTGATAGCAGCAAGAAGCTCCACAAAAACAAATGTGCTTTGAAATGTGTTTGACTTGAGTCTACATTAAAGTCCTATTGCAAAGCCATACTTACGTATCATTATTTATACAGGAAAATAAATGTTCTGGATCCTGGAAGGGTTGGAGGAACAGGAATATGACATATGGCTACACAGACTGTCCACACTTTTTTTTTTCCAGTCCTAGGGTTTGAACTCTGGGCCTGGGTGCTGCCCTCTGAGCTTTTTGCTCTAAGCTAGCACTCTATGACTTGAGCCACAGCTCCACTTTGTGATTAATTGGAGATAAAAGTCTCACAGACATTGCTGCCTGGGCTGGCTTTGAACCATGAACCTCAGATCTCAGCCGCCTAAGTAGCTAGGATTCTACCAGCACCAGGCAGGCCTCACAATCTTGCTTGCCTTGTTTTGCTCAAGACTGGTACTCTACCACTTGAGTCACACCTCCACTTCCAACTTCTTGCTTGCTAATTGGAGATGGGAGTCTCATGAACTTTTCTGCCTGGGCTGGCTTCAAAGCACGATCTTCAGATCTCATCCTTCTGAGTAGCTACGATTACAGACCTGAGCCACTTGTGCCAGCCTTGGGCTGCCCACTTCTACCACCATACGCAAAGGGCATCCAGCCAAGGAGGAGCGCCAGGCCTGTAGCCACCTAGACCCAGCCTGCACTCCCCCGCCACACCTGTGTGTGGGGCTGCGTTCCTGCAGGGGCTGCTCGCTCTCAGCACAGTCCTGTATGGGAACAACGTGTAGCAACCTTGGCAGGATCTACTTCTGAAAGCAAGCAGCTGAGGGCATGTGCCTCTCTGTGCCCCTGCCCTACCTTTACCATCCAGGGACTTGCGGGGCAACGCGCTCAACTGTGACTGCAAGGTGAAATGGCTGGTGGAGTGGCTGGCACACACCAACACCACCGTGGCTCCCATCTACTGCGCCAGCCCACCCCGCTTCCAGGAGCACAAGGTGCAGGAACTGCCACTGCGCGAGTTCGACTGCATCACCACCGGTAGGAGTTGCCCTGGCACTGCTGAGTGGCAGTGTGGGCCCCCTCACACCCAGAGCCAGTAAGTAGCCAGGCTGCTGCCGCCACCCTGGCAGACTACACCTCTTGTCCCTGCAGATTTCGTGCTCTACCAGACCCTGTCCTTCCCCGCTGTGTCAGCTGAACCCTTCCTCTACTTGAGTGACCTCTATTTGGCTCTGGCTCAGCCTGGTGCCAGCACCTGCACTGTGCTGAAATGGGACTACGTGGAACGGCAGTTTCGAGACTATGATAAAATCCCAGGTATACTGGCGCCTCCTCTCACTGCGTGGGGCCTTCAGCCAGATGTGGCCTCAGGCTCCATGGTCCAACGCCATCAATTCCTAGAGGAAGAAGGAGAGATAGGGGTAGTCTCTGCCTGCTCACACTTTGCTGTGAGTAATCAGTAGTGCTCAGAGGAAGCTGGGGACACAAAGCACTGGGTAATCAGGGAAGGCTTCCTGGGCTGGGATGTAGTTCAGTGGTAGAGCACTTGCCTTCCATGCACAAGGCCCTGGGTTCAATTCCTTTTGAAGGATGGGGGAGAGAAAGGACTCAGGGAAACAAGGAGGAGATAGGAGGGGCTGTTAGGCTCAGTTTTGGATCTACTGAGTTTGAGCCTGGTTTTAAGGGATATTTTGTTAGGAGGAGAAGGAAGGGGAAAGAACATTCTGGCAGGGGAGATGACACACAGTCCAGAAGGTGTGTAATAGCTTGGCGTGTGAGTGCATGTGTGTGTGTGAACTGCCGGCAGCTTGGAAGACTGCAGTGTAAGTCAGGTGCGGAGTGGCAGATGAGGCCAGAGAGCCATGGAAACCCAACCTTGACAAGGTTAAGAGGAGAATATGAGGCAGGCATTGGTAGCTCATGCCTGTAATCCTAACTACTCAAGAGGCAAAGAGACAGAGAACTACAGTTCAAAGCTGGCTTAAGCAGAAAAGTTGATGAGACCTTATCTCTAAAATAGCCAGTAAAAAGCCAGTCTGAAGGCATGGCTCAAGTGGTAGAGCAGAGTAGAATAAACAAGCTGAGCAGGATCCAGGCTCTGAGTTCAAACACTAGCATGGGCACATACACACACACAAAAGAAGTCTATGTGAACTGATCCACTCTGCAGTTTGGAGCGCATCATGCACAGGTGTGAGCCGGTACTGGAACACAGCTGTGTAGCAGAGCAATGCTGGAGGGGAGACTTGGGCAGCAGCATGGGGTAGGAGAGAGGCTGAGGCTGAGGATGCAAAAGACACAGACAAGATGTGACCGAACCTTTAAATTGCCCCATTAACGAACTTATCTATTTAAAAAAAGCAAAAACAAAAACCTTCCCCCAATGAAAACTCTAGTTCAAAGGGTTTCCCTGGTAAGTTCTATCAAACCTTTAAGGGAGGGGAAAAAAAAAAAAGAAACCACAGTCTTAAACAAACTCTTAGAAAGTGGAAGGGAGTCTGGGTGGGTCTGAGGCTGACCATGAAAGGGGGCAGATAGAAGAAAGAAAAATGTTGGGGTCTAGCACTTGGTGACTTGGGACATCAAGAGCGCAATTGGAGGAGCTGCCATTGATGGCTGTTTTCATAGCTATTCAGGAGGCTGAGATCCAAGGATCACAGTTGAAGACCAGCCTGGGCAACAAAGTCCTTGAGACTCTTTTTTTTTGCCAGACCTGAACTCTGGGCCTAGGCGCTGTCCCTCAGCTCTTCAGCTCAAGGCGAACACTAGACCGCTTGAGCCCACAGCGCCACTTCTGGCCTTTTCTGTTTATGTGGTGCTAAGGAATCGAACCCAAGGCCTCATGCATGCAAGGCAAGCGCTCTACCACTGAGCCACCTTCCCAGCCCCAGTCCTTGAGACTCTTATCTCCAAGTAACTACTAAAAAAGCAGAAGTGGAGCTGTGGTTCAAAGTGATAGAGTACTAGCCTTGAGTGCAAAAGCTCAAGGGGAGAACAGGATTCCTGTACCACTAATAAGCACCGAGGTGTTCTCTCAGGATGCCTAGGATTTCTTACTCTTCCCGCCTGGCCACTTACCAGCAGGAGAGCCATGGATGAGTCCTTACGTCTCTCTGAACCTCAGCTTCTTTCTGTGTGAAATGGGCAACCTAGTAGGGTCTTTTATCTGCATGCATGGCAGAAGGAATACATGTTTACAGCGAGCAGAGTGGCTACGCACAATACAAATCTGACAGCCCACACAATCGTTAAACAGGATCTAGGGATATCTGTTTTATGCTGGATGCCAGCTTGTTTGGACTGGCTGTGAGGCCAGTGGGGTTGGCTTGAGTGTCACATGCTGCTTAGCAAGCGCAAGGCCTTGAGTTCAAACCCCAGTACGAGGAAGAAAGAGAGAGAGAGAGAGAGAGGGAGGCAAAGAGAGAGCACCAGGCGCTGGTGGCTCCTGACTGTAATCTTAGCTACTCAGGAGGCTGAGATCTGAGGATTGAGATTCAAACCCAGTTTGGGCAGAAAAGTCTGTATGACTCTCATCTCTAATTAACCACCAGAAAGCCTGAGGTAGAGGTATGCTGAAGTGCATGCCGGCCTTGAGCAGAAAAGGATAAGAGGCAGTGCCCGGGCCCTGAGTTCAAGACCCTGTACTGGTGTGTGTGTGCATGCGCGTGCGCACACACCCACCCACACATAAATAATAAAGAAATAAGAGAAAATAAAATAGGGAGCCCTGTCTCTGGGCAGAGGGGGTTACAGTGAGTGGGGTGCTGGAGCAGAGCCTCCCAGCCCATGGTTGGGGGAGACTGGCCTTCTCCAGCGGGTAAGATGGGGTGGGAGCTGGGGGCCTGTCTGGCAGGGCCTGACGCCGCCCACCCCTGTCCCGCAGCCCCGTCAGCCGTGCACTGCAAGCCCATGGTGGTGGACAGCCAGCTGTACGTGGTGATGGCCCAGCTGTTCGGCGGCTCGTACATCTACCACTGGGATCCCAACACCACCCGCTTCACCAAGCTGCAGGACATCGACCCACAGCGCGTGCGCAAGCCCAACGACCTGGAGGCCTTCCGCATCGACGGCGACTGGTACTTTGCGGTGGCCGACAGCTCCAAGGCGGGCGCCACCAGCCTCTACCGCTGGCACCAGAACGGCTTCTACTCCCACCAGGCCCTGCATGCCTGGCATCGCGACACCGACCTGGAGTTCGTGGATGGCGAGGGCAAGCCACGGCTGATCGTGTCCAGCAGCTCGCAGGCGCCTGTCATCTATCAATGGAGTCGTACTCAGAAGCAGTTTGTGGCCCAGGGCGAGGTGTCCCAGGTCCCCGATGCCCAGGCTGTAAAACACTTTCGTGCTGGCCGGGACAGCTACCTGTGTCTCAGCCGCTACATCGGCGACTCCAAGATCCTGCGCTGGGAGGGCGCCCGCTTCTCCGAGGTGCAGGCCCTACCTTCCCGGGGCTCGCTGGCCCTGCAGCCCTTCCTGGTGGGTGGCCGCCGCTACCTGGCACTGGGCAGCGACTTCTCCTTCACTCAGATCTACCAGTGGGATGAAGGGCGACAGAAGTTCGTGCGCTTTCAGGAGCTGGCGGTGCAGGCCCCCCGGGCCTTCTGCTACATGCCCGCCGGGGACGCCCATCTGCTCCTCGCCCCCAGCTTCAAGGGACAAACGCTGGTGTACAGACACGTCGTGGTGGATCTTAGTGCCTAAGGCGTGCCAAGGCCGCGTGGTTCCTCAGGGCGGTGCTGGAGGCTGGGTGGGGATCTCTATGAGCAGCACGTGTGAAGTCACGCGTGGCCAATCTGTGTACGTACCAGGCACCCAGTCCTGCATAGGAATGCCTGCCCCCTCCACCTGCAGACTCCCTCCCCACCCCCTCCTGTTGCGCTCTGCTCTCTCCTGATCTGTGTGTGAGCTGGGTGTTGGGAGGGGACAAGCCAACGCCTTCCTATGCTCTGCTTAGCCTCTGCCCTAGGGACCTTCCTGTGGGTGCTCCAGGGGTGGTTTTCCTGCTCAAGCTCCTCAGTTACAACCTCGGCTGTCACACTTCTGGGTACACCCACCCATGTGCATGCACACGTGGACATTAAGGACACTCTCAGTTACCCAATGGCACACACATGTGTATATGCCCATTTCCATAGACAAACATGTCTGGCGCTTGTGCAGACTTGTTGCTCCCTGGAGGGAACTTTGCTCTACTATCTTCGTTCCTCTTCTTAGAGGGGCCTACAAGTAATGCCCCCCTTCTGCCCACCCCAGAGTGTGCATTGCATGGCGGAGAGCACAGGAATGGTGATGAATCCATGCAGGTGGGCCTCTTTCCCCCACGTTCGGTCAGTAGCAGCCGCAGCCATGGCGGCCTGTGGGCCCTTTCCAATGCTCTATCTTCTGGGTTGAACCAGTGAGTCGAGTCCCAGCTCACTGAAGACAGGAAACTGCCCAGGTGAAAGCCTTTCTCTCCATCTTTCCCCAGTATCTGGAACTTTCTCAGGCTGAGATGGATCCCTGGTTCACCCCATCTTTAAGCAGTGTTTGTTCCTATAAGAGCCTGGCCCTGCGAGCACCCGAATCACTCATGTATATGCCAGGGATGAGATTGGCTGTGAAAATATCTGGGGTGCTAGCACCCTTGCAGTCCACAGAATCAACCCCAGGAGCACTGCCTTTCTGTGGAGGTTGACTATAGACCAGCCAGGAGGCCTGAGGGAGGGGCACCTGGGAGCCGGGGTTCTGCTGCCCTCTGCTGACCCTCTCTGGGAATTGCACCTCAGAAAGGCCAGGCTGGCAGCAGCAAGGGTGTGTCCACACCATAGAGACTTGTGGCCAGGTGCCCAGGGGCACTTGGGGGCAATGCTATGACTCATCCGCTTCAAATAAAAAGTTACACCACACGGTCAGGTGTCGCTAAGGAGTCGCGCCATCTGTTCTCCTGCTGTACATGGTGGGGGCGGGGGGCACATCCGCTTTCAGATGGCTTTTGTTGGTGGACGTCCCCAAGGTCAGCTGGTGCTGGGGTCAGAAGTTCACAGTGATGACACCCAGTGCTGGGCTTGTGTGCTGAGTCTCCTCCACCTGGGCTTGAATCACAGCCCAGTGTTCCTTCCTGGAGATTACAGACATGAGACTCACTAAGACTTGCTAGGCCGCTCCAACCGATTTGTCAAATAGCCATCCGCCGGTCCCTCCTCCAGCTCCTCTGCTGGGCTCTGTCCATCACCACCTCCCCCTCCCCCCAGCTGAGGCACCCTGGAGTCCTGGACAATACCTCGGTGCTCCTTCTCTCTATAGCTAACCAACTCCCAAGACTCTTCTTGATTCTTTGTCCTCCAAGGTTTTCCAATGGAGTGCTTTGGGGCTTTGTTTTTTCTTTTGCTTTGTACAAACCTGCCTTTGTCACTATTAGGCCCTTCGCACACCTCCCCATCAACCCACATCTTTCCAGTCTCACCTTCCAGAAACACCTTTCCATCACCTCATCCCCTACCGTGGAATCCGCCTGGACTCCCTGATCTTCTGGCAATAAGCCCATGGCCTTCTGCGCAATGCCAAGGTCCCTGGGACCTGATTTGCTCAATGCACCTAAAATCCTGCAGGCAGGCAGGCTCCCCTTGTGCCTGTGAACAGAGCCCAGAGGACAAAGGGGGAGGAAGGAGGGGGGCAGACAGATGGACTCAGGCACAAGATACTGGGGGTCACCAGGAGTATTGATCTGTGGGACTTCTCTTCTCCAGGGCTTGAGTAAATGGCGCCCTTTCACGGCCTCCCACCGTCAGCCACAGGGTCCGGAGAAATAGGGAATGTGAGCTGGGCACTGGTGGCTCACACCTGTAACTCTAGCTACTCAAGAGTCTGAGATCTGAGGATCACAGTTTGAAGTCAGTCCAGTTAGGAAAATCTGTGAGACTATTATGTCCAATTTACCATGAAAAAGCCAGAAGTGGTGAACAAATGCAGCAGTGGTACTCACTTGACACTATGTTGAAAATGAACTATTCAGCTTGTGCATAGGAACAAGAGGGGAAAACTGGGAGAGAACAAGGGAAGGGGTGACACTGTCCAAAAAGAAATGGACTCTTGCATGTATGTAGCTGCAACCCTCTGCAATCATCTTAATGTTAGCAATAAAAATGCTAAAAAAAAAAATTTAAAGCCAGAGAGGGAGCTATGAAGTGGTAGAGTGCTGGCCTTGAGTGGAAAAAGCTAAGGGACAGCGCCTAAGGCCCTGAGTTCAAGCCTCACTGTCAGCACCAAAGAAGAAGGAAGAGGAGGGAGAAAAAGAAAGAAAGAAAGAGAGGGGGAAAGGGGGAGAGGGAGGGAGTGAAGGAGGAACGGAGGGAGGGAGAGAAAGAGGGAAGAAAAGAAAGAAAGGGAGGGAGGGAGGGATGAAGGGAGTGACAGTTTGGAGGTGCAGCCATGGCACATTTCTTCCCTTCTCTTGGCTCTCACACGTGTCATTCCTGTGTCACTCCAATGTCACGTGATATACCCTTCTTTGTCCTGGAAGGGGTGTGTGTGATTTGCTGTGGTCAACAGGTGAATGGAGCTCCTAAAAGCTCCAGCAGCTCAGAGACAGCAGGAAACAGAGCAGAGTAGTAGAACGTTCCCTGGGCTCTGCTGACAGGACTGCGCACATGTGAATGTGAGTTCAGGCCTTTCCTTTGGCATGAGGCTCCAACTGATGTCCCTACTGTTGAGAATCCTGATTCAGCCAGTTCAGCAAATGAGCATAAGCAGCTGGTTAACCCTTGACCGTGTTATTTCGTCCATTTGTGACTCAGTCTCCTCATCCATAAAGTGGGTATAAACATGATAACTACCCAACAGGGTCATCTATCAGGAGATTTACGTGCATTAAATATATATTACGGCAGGTGAGGCCCTTGGAAGAGTGTATCTGGCAGGTAATTATGATCTGTGTTGGTCTGCAGGAATGTATGGGATACAGAGGAGGCTGGGAGGAGGGAGAGGGGTGATTTGGGGGAAAGGCTGTTCTCTGAGGGAGGACTCCTCCCCCACCCCAGTAACCCCACCTGCTGCCACAGAGGTCCAGCTGGCCTGGCCTGGCCACAGCCTTCTCTTGTGCCACCAGCCTGGGTTTCCTTCTATCCAACACACTCCTGAGTTCCCCATCCTCACCATTCTGGAAGTCTTTTTGTGGGGGGGGGTTCAAATGGGAAACAGACCCTTGCCCTCCCGCCTCTTGGGAGGTTGCTAGGGGAACTGGGCTGTCTCTCCCAGAAGCGCTGGTATTCTGCTGACCAGTCAAAAGATAAACAGCGTGGGTGCAGACGTCCCTTCCGGGGGAGACCTTCTCCGAGTGCGGGCCATGTTTCTGCTTCGCGGCGGCTTGGTCGCTTCGGACTCATCCATGTGTCCACACAGCTGCTTAGCAACCCAGTGTAACTGGGTGACTGTGTCAACAGCTCAGACCAAAGGCCACAAGAGCCAGAACCCATTCACACTGCCAAAGCCAAGAAGGGCGACGCGCCTGTGCTGCCAGGCCCCGGCCGCTCTGGGGAGCCCTGACTGCCGCAGCAGACCTCCACTTTTTTGTTCTTCAGATTTCCCACGCACAGTCGTTGGGGCCAGGGATCTCCATGCAACTGGCCCAGCCTGGCAGGCTCAAAGTGGACACAAGAGAGTTATTCCCAGCAAATGGGGACAGCAAGAGGAGAGAAAGTATTTTAAGATATGGTCTTGCTATGTAGCCCAAACTGGCCTCAAACTCAGATCCTCCTGCCTCAGCCTCCCCAACGCTGGGATTACAGACATGAGCTACTCAGCTCCAAAGAGAGGCTTCTAAAGCTGTAGTCAGACCTAGGGTTCTTTCCAGAAGGCAATCGATGAAGCGGACATACCAAAGGACCCAAGATTCTCTTTTGTGTAGTTCTACACACACACACACACACACACACACACACTGCCCCATTTCCTGAGCTTGTCCCCTTCAAGCAGATCCTTATCACTTTTTTTGGCAGTCTTGGGGGGCTGACCTCTGGGCCTGGGCGCTGTCCCTCAGCTCTTCAGCTAAGGCTTGCTCAAGGCTCCTACTTGAGCCACAGCGCCACTTCCATCTTTTTCTGCTTATGTGGTGCTGAGGAATCGAACCCAGGGCCTCATGCATGCGAGGCAAGCGCTCTACCACTGAGCCACCTTCCCAGCCCGCCTTGTCACTTTTTGTCTAAAGAATGTCAAAGACTGGAACTGTTCTGGTGGGATGGTCAACTCTTGATATTTCTTGTTCCTCCAAAACAGAACGGGCTGGGCTGGGGGAGGGGGTTGTGGTCAAGAGGAGCAAGACAGACACACGCCTCAGGGAGTTTCTCCTGTGGGCCAGTTTCACTGCTGACTCCCACACCCAGAAATACCAATAAAATTGATGATAATAATTAAGACCATATAATCACCTGTTTATTTCCCCCCCCAGAACCTCCTATCTGGCTCCCATCATTAACCACTCTTTCCCATGGGGGTGGGTGTTAGCTGTGGCGCTAGTGAAAACCAACAAATGCCTGTGTTTTCACCTCCGTGGGCCTGGGGAGGGGCAGGGAGCATGGGTCCCCACAAGGGAGTGACCGGGGCAGCAAGCCTCCTTCCTTCTCCCCTGGGAGACGCAGCGGGCACCTGCTGACAGCTCACAAGGCCCAGCCGCCGCACAGACAGCCCGCAGCCCGCAAGGACGCGGCGGGGCCAGTTAGCTCACCGAGTGTATTTCTGCATGGGTAACCAGGGCCCCGAGCACCAACACACAGTCCACAATGGCCATGGCGGATGCCGAGTCCCAGATCCACTGCCTTCTGGACTCCTAGAAACAGGTGGAAGAATGCGCACCCCGCGGTGAGACGCGGCGAGCCTCCTCAGTCCACCTGCCCGGGGTGTGGGGTCCTGAAAAGGTGTACGGGGGCGGAACGCATGCCGCACCCCGAAGCCCCCTGGGTGTGGGGGGGACTCGGATCGCTGGCCCTCCCTCCCCAGCTGCCAGGCGGGGCCCGGCCTGACCCCCCCCACCCCGCCCCCCGACTGCACCCCACCGCTGGCATGCAGAGGGCGGGAGAAACGGGAAGGGAGCCTGGAGGTGCCAGTGACCCGCCGCGAGGCCGCAGGAGCTCCGATCTCCCCCGGTCCCGCTCCCGGCCTTCCTTCCATGGCACCTTTACCGGTCACCAAGGCCCCGCCCCCGAGTCCCGCCGCGCGGCCCCTTTAAGGGGCGGGGCTTTG